CTCCCCCCGCCCCCCGCCCCAATCTCAGGGCGAGCCCACCCTTCCCTCTCTCTGGAGGCTTGGCCTGCAGTTCTGCCAACTGTCACAGCTTTCTTTCAGACGGCTAACTTCCCGGGTGCATGGGCCCTGTGCTGGTTCGCGGGGAAGGATGGCGCTTCCGGGCCTCACTCTGGTGGGAGGCAGGTGCAGACGTGCCCTGGGTGCCCTCCAACTGCTTTGCTGGGGTAGGGGGTCTCCAGGCAACGCCCCTCCCCCAGCTCCTGGCCCAGGAGGGCAAATTTGAGAGGGGGCAGAGTCCTTTCCATTTTATTAAAGTGTGTGTATAATTCCCAGGAATGGGGCTCAGCAGTCCCACAGTGATTTCCGTACAAGGTCAAGGGTTTCTTGCCCACGCCTACCTCCTGGTGGCCTGGGGATCACTTAGGTCCCAGCAGTCCACTTATCTGGCCTCTCCTGAAAATGGTGCAGCTGCAGGTTAAGCCAGATCAGATTGAGGGATGATTTTAGGGGCAGTGCCTGTGAACCCAGCTCCATGTGGAAGATGTGGGGGCCACGAAGGCAAAGTGAACCAGATTCCACCCCTGAGGAGCCAGCTGGGAGAGAGGACATATGCCTTCAACCCAATCCAACCCAACCAAGCTGTGTGCTGGGATATGCCGTGGGAACAGTCCCTCGGCACTGATGGGGGGGCACTAATGGCCCTGGTTGGGTTCCCCCCCCCCCAACCACTTTTACTGTTTCTTGCAGTGAGCACTGCCTCACCTCTGGACACACATTCCTTCCCTAGCAGCTCAGATCCCAGTGAGGACAAACAGCCGTTCCCCTCGCTCCTCCTACCAGAACTGCTTTTTAAACACTATCCAGTGGCTCCAGCCACCGCATGGACCTGGGGGCACATATACTGGGCAGAGAATGTCAGGACCAGCCCAGGTCATCTGCATGGCTGCCAGCAAAGTTCAGAAATCCCACAGTAGATCGTGTCTGTCATGGGTGCAGGCACAGGAAATCATCACATGGCGGGCCTGGTGTTTCCATAGGCTTGTAGAAGGGCAGATGTTGGCTGGCGCCAAACGGGCATCCACCTGCAGCCAGAGCTCCCAGGGCAGAAGACATGCGGAAGCCAGAAGATGCACGCCTGGACTCCATGGTCAAGTCTAGCAGCAGAGCCCTGAGCCACGGTGGTCTGTGAGGGTTTGACCTGGTGAGGTCGTTGGGAAAACCCAGCGCCCCCCCCCCCCCCCCCC